CTTCCAATTCGAAGTTTGATCAGGCTTGGCAAATGTAGAAACAATCGTTATACGTGCAAGCTATTCAAGATAAAATGAAGAAGGTAACTTCATTTCCTTTAACAAAATGTGGCTTTTATATATTTTAGTCTATTTTAGGTATTTTATTTTGAAATCCACGGTAGCACTATTGTGTGTGAATTTAACAGAAGATGCATAGCTCCTATTAAGGTACGAGTTGTGTAAGTTGTTTTCATGCACTGGAAAAAAGGAAGTCGCCAAGTTAAAAATAGCTAAAGCCATTATGGGTAATTATTTTAACTTAATATTAATTGTTTATATTGTCATGTAATTAAAACATTTTCAGATTCGGTAAATTGGTAAACAAAAAAGAAATAGAAATTAAAATAGATGCCTGGTTGTAGAGGGCTCCGGAAAGAAATAGACGCAATAAATCAAAGCGTAATAAATAACAATTTTTTTTGTCAATTTTTTTTATAAATAAATTATGAGAAGAAGTAATAGATTTTATTATTCTACTAAAAAAACGTTTAGGTCATTTCTGGAACGTTCCAGCAATGGTATAAAAACTTGCCTAAGACGTTTGAGCAACATCGCAGGATGTTCCACAAACGTCTCTAATACGTTACAAATGATGACATTGTCATTGCCAGAAACATCCCAGGGGGGCTATTTTCAAAGTATGGGAGCACTCATTTCTCTCAAGATTCTCATCAGAAATGTCATACGTCAATGTGGAAACGCTGTTTTTAAAGGCCTCGAGGATTAAAAATCTTAGGAGGATATTAATTATCTCTAAATAAACCGTGAGAAACAATCAGTGAGTTCACACTGGCCCTTAGGACCCTAAAAATTACTGTTTTACGTTGACGTATGACATTTCTCTCGAGAGAAATGAATTCTCTCGACTTTGAAAATAGCCCCCCAGGTACGTTTGAGGGAAAATAAGAAACATGACAGAGACGTGTCTAATGTCCCAAGTGCATGTTTCTGAAACGTTCGCGAAACAATACTGTGCTATTAGGGTGGAATTTCTCCCCCAGAATCGTCGCATGGATTTACACGACCATCATAAGACCTATGCTAACATATGGTGTAGTTGTCTGGGTTTAGCAAACCCAAAAGTTGACAGCTATCCGCAAACTAGAACAAATTCAAAAAACATATTGGGGGTCCTATGATTGAACGTTTACGTTATCCGTAACGTACATGTTAGGCCGAGTTTTAACAGTAACGAGGCAAGTTCGTATGATGGAAAACTTTTTTCAACACATTACTGTTATTTTCCGCCTGTTATGTTCTAATTTAACAGTTTTCCATCATACGAACTTACCTCGTTACTGTTAAAACTCGACCTAACATGTACGTTACGGATAACATAAACGTTCAATCATAGGAAAACCACTCCGACCAGAGCCATGGAAATCATTCTTAAGCCTTGATTTCTTTGAACACTCCGTCGCGGTGAGCGGACAGTCCGTCGACCGTCGCGTTTTGACGATTTTATCCAACCAGAGTATTTAAATAGGAATGATTTTCTTGAATCCGCTTAGCTGAGCAGGACGGCGTCATGCCGCTGATTTGCCCCGACTAGTCGGTTCATATCTGTTGAGTTTGATATTAGCGGAATCGTCGGCGTGTACGGAGACAGTTTGTGAATACAAATAATTATATTGTTATTATTTTTAAAACAATGAGTGAAAAATTCACACATACAGATGACTTTATGACTTTATTTGTAGGTTTCTTGGAAATGTTGTCCTTTATAAAACTCAACACGAATACAAAAAGGTCTGTGAAACTCCCTAAATTTGGTTTCATTTCCAAAAAGCCTCTGATGCACAGTGATATTAAAGGCACATTCTGTATCGCGACCCAAAAACAACTTATCCACTGGCTTATTGGAAACTTTGACGGTTGCAATTCCCAGTTCCTCTTGTTCTTCCTCTTCCAACAATAATAACAACGCAATTAATTTATTTGCGTCCATTTTTAGTACCTTAACGTTTACATTCATAATACATAAATAGCACGTACAGACATAGAGAAGGTCTCATTTTCTATATTTAACAAACCACCTCGGGCGAAAATCGCTGTCCTCAGTGGCCGACGGACTGTCCGCTCACCGCGACGAAGTGTTCAAAGAAACCAAAGCTTTAGTCTCACTCCTCTTAATATTTATATCAATAAGGTTGCTCTGATGACAATGACACGCCTCCGTGCAGTTATAAGTTAGAACGAATAGAAGTTACAGGTACGATTCATAACTACATCGACTGTTCTAAAACAAAAAAGGCTTCAGGATCCTTAAACCTAAAAACAAAATGCCCAACAAACATTTTGTGTAGGGGAGTTAAAGGCCCAATAACTGTAACCCTCCAATTACATTGATGGCCATTTGACTTTTTTAATTAAAAGATCGGCATACATAGGTCACTACGGCCGACAGTCGGGCCGAAGTCACTTTGCCATCATAACCAATTAATGGGCCTTCATTTCCCCTTTAATGTCTAGAAATAAATATATTGACAATTAATGGCCAATTGATGGAAAGTTAACGGGAAATTGCTGGCCTTTTACCACATTAATAAAGGCTATGTGTCAGGCACATGATCAGACAGGATATTCGATAGTGCCTCTTTGACTAGTAGTACCGTTTGAACTATAAATTCTATACAAAAACAGAAGGCATTTCAATATAGAATATTGTAGACGTTTTACTTAATTCAGCTATATAATATATTAATACAGAAAAAATGTCTTTTTCAAAAAAATTATTAATAAAATATTCTAAATTAACATGTAAAAGTAAAAAATTACAATGAGTACTGAATACCAGCAATGCGAGACTGGCCTCATATTACATGTCCACTGGTTATGTATGTAACAAGCGATCATCGGTGTCTCCATCTATGAACGCGGGACAGAGCCATCCGGGACTGTTAGATTGGGTCGGCGGCCGTTAAAAGCCTTTTGACTTTTACCATGCTTTTACCCAATACAGTTACTTACCCTTCATAAGGCCATCATCAAGAAATATAATGCTGAGCCACTATCGAAAGGCCAAAAGAAGGCTTTTATCTTGTAATCGTCGCATTCATTTTCCCTTCAATTACAGCAAAAGGCCAGCAGTATCCCGGCAATTTATTATATTATCAGGAACAATATCACTGAAAGGAATATGCTCATCTATATAGATAGCAGACAAGCACTACTCACTCTAAATAGACCACGAATTTACTCAGGGTTAGTACTATAGAATGTCACGAAGCTTTGACCGGAGTATCCATCAACAATGTGGTCATCTTAAGACGGATCAAAGATCACGCCACAACGAAAGGTAACCGTCTTGCTGATTCACTGCTCAAAAAGGCAGCTAACCAAATACTTTTTTCGACCTGGCTATTCCTATTGGCCTGACAAAATAGGTAGTGACAGACCTAATTAAAGAACATTCCCTTGAAAGATGGAATGAAACAAGAAACTGCAGAGTTGCCGGTGATATCCTGACAACAGTACAGCAAACAAAAATACTCTGCACTTTTAGAAGATTTGTGTTCGGCGATTATCGGCTAACACTGGCCGATATAAGAGTAGAAGCACCTCTTGGCGACGTTGTCAACTACATTAAATCTATAGGCTGGCTCACGAGCTAGGAGGTGCCCACAATCTTAGGAGAATGCACAATGGGCATAGTGGGGCCTAAGTGCCGTGGGGGAAACCAATCCTAAACACGTTACAGATAAGGGGTAATTAGTAAAGCCTCTTCTTCCTATTCATTTTTCAGGAAATTTTGGACAGGAGCTCAATCTAGATGCAGCCACATTTTTCGTCTTATATATATATCCAAAAGATGGTTCCAAGAATCTATCTTCAAACATTTTTAAAAATCTTTTATTTAAATGTATATCAAAAAAATAGGGTTTCACAAACTGTCTTCCTATCATTCCACCATAAACGTTTAACGACCATCGGTTTTGTCGATCTACAGATTTAAGGCTGTGACTACGTACAAGCCGCGACGTGGTTTTAAGTGAGTTTTAAATACACGCCGGGACGTGTATTAAGAAATAAAGTGTATACACGCCGTTGTAAGAGTAACTTAAATACATACAGTCTGTTCGCTATACTTACGCGGGTTTCGGATTAACAAAATTATGCAAATTAGTCATTGACAACCAGTTCCGATAAGCCTCTTCCCAAGAAATTAAGTAAAATTGCCCTAATGGTTAGATTTAAATTAAAATAACATTAGGGTAGGTACTAAATTTGTTACAAATATTGCAGTTGAATTGATTCTTTGCAAGTGTTGACATTGTATGTATATTGTAAATTTAGTGGTAATTTTAAAAATGCCTAGACGTGTGTTAGATGTAGATAGTCTAATTTGTAGTGTACATAAGTATTTTACGGATGAAAAAGAAAATGGCGGCCCTTTAAAATCGGTAATGTCTGTACAACAACTCGTATGCGATGCTCTAGGAATTAGTGAAACCAAATTAAGAGGAGTATTACAAAATCACAATAGTGAACTACCGAAAGAAGATCACCGTAAAACTCGCCCATCATTGAAAACAAAAGATATTCCAGATGGAAAGTTAAGTTAGTTATTTTCAAAGACATTCTTTGGTTATTTTTTATTTTAACAGCTTTTGACGACTATCTTTACGGGAATAAGTGCCTCAAAATCACTGTTAAACATCTATAGTATACATATATTGTGTGGGCCTATCTCTAACGGCAGCTCCTCCGCACAACATCAATTATTTTGAAACTAACTGATTTTCAATATTTTGAGATATTGCAATATTTATATATACAATTTTGTAAAGCTCTTGATGAAATACAACTCCGCAAACCGCATTTTTCTGGCTTAATCCCTGATTTTTTTAATTATGGGTTTGTTGAACTAACTTCAGCGAAGTTATGGGCGCTTAAAGAAACCCTCAAATAATCTACTGATCTGACAAAATTCCCTCCTGTTGGTACGCCTCTGTATTTTCCCATTGCAATGGGCTGAATAATTAAGTGAGTGGAACACTAAGGAAAAGTATTAAAAAACGAAGAAAAGTTGAGGTTCTAATTTTTAGACGTCATGTGGACGTCATTTCAATGTAGAATATTTCAAAATAACAAACATTTTTAAATTTTATGTTGCTGTTGCTTGAATTCGCCTAAATAATGTCATCTACCGAAGTAAATTTAAAACAAGGATTAAGAAAACTTGAATATCCTATATGTGCTAAGGAAGCATTATACAAAATATTCGATTTAATATGTAGCCGTATTACTAGTATAAAAAATATGGACTTGGCATTAGATTTAATGGCAGAATTTGTATTTTATGAAGTGGATAGAAGAGGTCATAAAAGGGCACAACAACTGTCTTCACTTCAAGAACTTCAACTCATTAAAATTCTTTATGAATATTTTAATAGTATTTCTAGCGAATCTGGTAGAAATACGGTTTTTTTGTCTCTGTTCAGTGGAACCACATTGAGTTTAAGACTGGGAATTCTTACCAAATTTATATCAACAGCAATAGGTATTCCATCCTCTAAGATTTTATCATCTGCCAGTGCTTGGATGCAACAATTGGGAAATGCTTCTCCAAATAGTTGTAAATTTGCAGAGGGCATAATTCAAGATTATTTTTATTTTTATGTTTCAAGTACTGAAAAAATTACAGTCTTACCTCAAATTTCCCCACAATTTACCGCTAACTTTATGACTGCAGTTGCAGAAAACTATTTTAATACTACAAATAAAAGAGATGTGTGTTTTCCACCTAAAGTCTTACTAGAAACAATTACATTGTGGATATCCGAAAGTACAAGTTTGTGTGTAGCCGCTCAACAAAAACAAGCGATGTTACCTCCTGGAGCTATTGCCATGGAAGCTACAACTCCAATAGCAGGTTTACTTAAATGGTGTATTTTATCCCCAATTTTTAAACAAGAGAACACCTTTTACAATAACCTTCATTTGGCACTTTTAAATAGTATTATGGAAATTCCAAAAGCTGTACCACCGAAAGCAATTTATGCACAACATTTGACGGTTTCCATAAATCCAATTTTAGCCTATGTAAATGATCTTAAGAATAGACAAGAAAAAAAGTTAGATCAGATATTACATGAAGATTCCTTGCAACTAGCTTTGGATAGGTTTGCACAAGCAATTCAGGTTATATCGTCTGTGAATGCTATGTATGGACATGTGGATGATCTATTTCATCAACTTAAGTTACTACCTTTTAATAAATTGATGAGTATTGTATTAAATAATTATAAGAATAAAGTTGTTATTTTGTAGATATATTGTAGTTTGGTAATAATGGATGTTCTGTACCTAACTATTATTCTTTAAATATTTAAAAGCATTTTTAAATTTATTGTGAAAGCGACTCTCAATATGAAGTTGGTTAAATAAGTTCAAATAAAATTTCAAATTTGAAAATTTCGAAAACAATAGTTCGAACTTTAAAAATTTGAATGACAAAAGTTCGAAAATTCAAAAGTTCAAATGACAAAACTTCGAAAATACAAAAGTTAGAATACCTACTAGGAAAATATTTATTAGATTCAACTGAGTAAACATCTGATGTGTCCAACACATGACTTTCCTATCTAGTTTGTATAAGCTTTTTCTGATTATTTTGTACAACCTATATCGTATCACTCCTGCAAACGTTTAGAGGATAAACTAAATACATTTTCCACACACATCTTGAAACATTTTTTTTATATACAGGGTGTCCCGAAATTAGACAATAATATTTTAACAGCGTAATCTACATCCTAAAATAGCAGTAAAAGTTCATAGAAACATAGGTCCGAAAACGTTTCTTTACCGAGATACAGGGTGTTAAAAGTAAAGTCCTGATGACACACTTTTGTAAATATTTTATAAAGGAAAACTAAGTGAAATTTGGTACAGATGCTTACCTTCTTACGCTAAACCCCAGTTTTTGATCATCTTCATAGGTGGCTAAATTAGGGGGGCTTAGGGTAAAATTGCCCTAAGTTTTTTTGTTGACAGTTTTTAACATTTTTGACTATAAAATTTGGAAAACCAAATGTTTTCTTTATAATAAAGCAACTTTTGTTGCATCTCGCTAGGACGCACCATTTTCAAGATAAAAGGCATTTGAAAATTTCATGAAAAGTGATGTTCTTATTCGAAAGTGTAAACAATAATTAGTAGACCTGTGGAATCAGAAATTTTACTTTTAGTCACTTTGGAAAACCGGTGACTAATTTTAGAAAATATTTACAAAAATGAGCTATTAGGACTTCACTTGTAACACCCTGTATATCGAAAACGAAACGTTTTCGGACCTATGTTTGCATGAACTTTTACTCCTATTTTAGGATGTAGATTACGCTGTTAAAATATGACCGCCTAATTTCGGGAATTCACTGACAAAGAAAAACTGAAAAATTAAAATTTCACACTTTTTCTCAGATTTTTTTCATTACGGTCCACTTAAGGAGAATCGTGTATAAAATAAAAATTGTCGAGAATGACATCACAAACAACTTTTTTTTTGAAAAATTTTCTTGAAAATATGAATTTTGCACATTTTGTCAAATTTCTTGAGTAAAAACCATTTTAGGAAAATTATGTAAAGGACAAAAATTATAGAAAATATTATTTCAAGCGACTTTTAATTAAATATGTTTCTTCTCGGAGCATAAATAACCGATATATTTCATAAAGTAAAAATCGACCCCCTTTAAAGTACCCCCCCCCCCCCCAGATGATTCCACTATGCCCAAAATCTAATCTGCTCACTGCAGGAAGGATTAAAGCTTAATTTTAAAATTTGATGTATTTGTCTTTATCTGTTCATTAATTAGTTATCGATTATACAGATACACACACAGATTTCATCATTGCACGAAAATAGTCAAAACGAATTTAAGGGACCCCAAAAAATAAAAATCCGTCGAAAAAATCATGATTCCTTTCCTATATACTTTTCTTATTGAGATACAGACAGGAAAGTAAAAATTATGCATAATAAACAGAATTAAAAAAAAAATTAAAAAAAAACTATATTACCTAAACCTATAATGTGGTCTTCACGGGTTAATTCGTAAAAAATATACTCAAAATAAAAAAATTGATTTTATAATTTTGTAATGCTTTCAATCTTGTACCATTTCGATCATTAAATACTCAAACATACAATGGCTTCAATACGCCTTTGCAGTGGCGGGTGGTGCATATAAATACTGCAGAACTGCCAAAAAAAATCCAAGTATATCTTGACTACATTTCACAGACATTCTAAAATATACGTAAAATAAATTTTATGGATATCTCATTAATAGTATCCAGCGCGCGAACGTATATATTACTCTCATTTTTTAGCTGAGAATAAGTCCAAAGTGAACCAGTGCGAAGACAACAAAAGCTTGCCAAGTCATATTCATCTCTCGCAGTTGGGTCGCTTCGGGACGGCCTGCTGTACACCGTTTGGACAGCCCGCGTTCATCGTCTAACCTTCCCGCGGTTCTGTAAAAAAGTAACGCATAAACACGAAGTGTTTGAGCTGCATTTTTGCCAGATTAGCGAGTTTTGTGACGTCGCATATGTGATGAAATTCGATTTCGGTTTTATATAGATCACTATAAAATGTTGGAGTTAATTCGTCAGAGCGCGTTTACATTGTACATGCAAGACACCAAAACAAACATTTTGTTTTGGCAAGTTACCTTTAAACGTATGTAATTTAATTCAAGTAATGGCCTTTTTCGGTGGGGTCTGCAATGGACTTTTTCCGTTATTGAAGATCTCTAGTACCCCTGCGTATATCCTACTTCCACTTAAAATCATCAAAATTTATTGTTCTTATGTTTCCTACCCTGAGAAACATCCGCAAATCTCATTTTGTTTGGCTATTCGCGATTCAAATTAATTTTCGCGCGCCTGTCATTTGTCACGTATAAGTAGGATATTTGTTTATTTACGTGTTGTGGGATTTTGTATTTGTGATTTTTTAACTGTTTTTAGATAATTCTTATTATAATAGTGTTTTTGAGTTTCATTTAGTGTTAATTTAAGTTTAGTTTTCGTGCTTCCGTTATAAATGTAATATTTTTCATGTGTAGTATGAACTAATTTGTTGGAAATATTGACCTATTGGTTTCTAGAAGAACATCTAGAAATATGTATTTACTAAATCCAGGACATGTTTTATTATGTGGTTTCAAGGACATATCAGGTACCAAACGTTTATTATTGATGAACTTTTTTAAAAATCTTACTATCCTTATTCTTATATCATGAAGTGAATTGTGTAGTACTTTGTATACATGTAAATGGTAATAAAACCGTCACAACTCATATTGGAGTTTGATTCTAAACAACGTTTTGCAAAATTTCAATATTGTGAATTTGTAGATACCCATTTATCGTAAGAAACAAAATTTCATGACTTGCACTTGAAAAATAATGAATACTTCAGTTTTGATTTTGACAATAACACCATATAGATTGCAATTTGCTGGAGGCTTTTTCGCAGATTTCATTTTTAATTTAAATACTATCACATACTACAAGAAATAAACGAATTTAAAGCTAAAAAGTAACAAAAAAACTAATTGTAATTGATACAAATTACAATGAACACGAACGCCAATGTTGCCAAATGATGAACTGATTTTGTCTCTGACTGATTTTAAAACTAAAATTAATAAATGAACTGAAATTTAAAAAAAAAATCAATATAATAAATCGATTTTATAAAAAAATCCTTAAATAAATATAGAGTATGATTACATATTACTAGACACAAATTTTGATTCTTAAATAAAAGGTCTTATCCATTTCTTCAAGAACTAAAATCCGACGACGTAACGAAATTTTGCTGCTTCTGGCAACACTGAACGTCATCCTACTTATAGGGACCTTCTACTAATTTCCTCCAGAGGGCGTATCACTTAGCTTGAATCGCGAATATCCAGCTATATCAAGCTAGCGGGCACTCTGTGGCGGCACCATACAAGACCTAGTAGGTTTTTTGTAGCTTTTTTGTTACGCTATTTGCGAATTTGTAGCTTAACCCAGGTCCGAAAAAACAGCGGATTCGCTAGCTTGAATTTCCATAGTAGCGGCACAGATTCAGACCCGGCTAGTTTTTCGTAACTTTTTTGTAGCTTTTTTGTTACGCCAATCTCCCTTTTGTAGCTTGTACTGAACCTGAGAAAAGGGCGGATCCGCTAGCTTAGCGGATATTTGTAGCGGCACCAGCTCATACCCGGCTCATTTTTTGTAACTTTTTTCTAGCTTTTTTGTTACGCCTGTCTCGATTTCGTTGCGAGGCCTGAACGTGAGTAATAATCGTTCCTTCATGAGCGTGAGAGAAATGTGCGTTAATTTAAAATCAATTTTCGGCCTCAAGAGGCGAGTTCGGATAGTCAGGGACTGGAGCGGGACAAATTTTAGGGTGCTTTTAAATGACATTTAAGCGTGTTAAACTGTCACTAATCGGACTAAACCGAACGCTAAAAGAGTCGTTTGGAGTTAAAAGTGTTAAAGGAGTTAAAGGAACGTGGCAAACCGAACGCAATATATATACAAGTAATAGGTGCAACTCGATAGTGTGAGGCACCAGGGGGGCTATTTTCAAAACATGGGAGCACTCATTTCTCTCAAGATTCTCATCAGAAATGTCATACGTCAATGTGGAAATGTTGTTTTTAAAGGCATCGAGGATTAAAATTCTTAGGAAGATTTTAATTCTCTCTAAATAAACCGAGAAAAACAGTCAGTGAGTTCACACTGGCCCTAAGAGCCCTAAAAATACGGTTTTACGTTGACGTATGACATTTCTCTTGAGAGAAATGAATTCTCTCGATTTTGAAAATAGCCCCCCAGTAATGCATTTCACGAATTATGGCCATCTTCCATCCTATATATTTTTGAGAAATTTAGATATAATCTCAAAATCGGACATTTGTTTTTTAATGTTTTTTGTTTTTTATTGTTGCTTATGTATTTATACTTTTGTTGAATCAAGAATATTCTTACATCTTTTTTGAATGATTTCCTTATAACCAATATCGTTTAGCGCAGTATTTATATGGACCAGTCTTTAATTCTGTCCGATCACAACTACACTCGTCAAAGTGCTCTGTAATCGAAAAAAATTTATTTTAAAGTTTACGGGTTAATTTCACCCTGTTTGACGGTGCCGAAAGGATTGTCTCTTATAGCCTATTATACTAACCCAGACAACACACCAAATCCCAGAGATATCCACAGAATATATTTTGTGGATATCCAATATATCCACAGGATATCAGAAA